GGAGCCCGGGAGAGGGGCCGCCAGCCCGGAGACCTCGGCACCCTGTCTGGAACCCAAGTGCCGTGTCCAGGATGCACAGCGTCAAATCCCAACACTGTTGACCCCAACAGTTCCGCCACCGGAGTCCCTGCAGGGGCGGCCACTGCGGAGTAAGCAACCCCCCAAGGGTCCATTTCCTCGGCGGGGCGGTACTGGACGACCGGGAGCAGAACGGCAGGGGCTGCGTATGCCCACCCAGAAGGCAGATCCCGGACCACTGTAGGATAAACAAAGCAAGCTGCAGAAGCGTAATAGGACTGCGCCTCTCTGACCGTCTGTATCCTCCTCTGCACTATTACCTCTGGGTAATCGGCGCCTCATAGGATTGTTGTGGAGATTCATTGAATGGAAAGGGCATAAAATAGGGGCTGACTCAAAGAAAGCCCACCTCGGGGTTTGTTACACAGGCCTAAGTGAGCACTTTCTCTTCCCCTGGCCTCGGGCCTCCCGACCCCCCTCCCTCCTGCACTTTCAAGCTCAATTCAGCCTTCTTCCTTTTCTCCTCTGCCATTCTGGCCCTCCCGTCAACCCATTCTCCACATAGCAGCCAAAGGGAGCTTTAAAATATGAAACGGGGGGGCCAGCCCGTGGCTCACTTGGGAGAGTGCGGTGCTGATAACACCAAGGCCACGGGTTCGGATCCCATTTAGGGATGGCCGGTTCGCTCACTGGCTGAGCGTGGTGCTGATAACACCAAGTCAAGGGTTAAGATCCCCTTACCGGTCATCTTTTAAAAAAAAAAAGATAAAATATGAAACGGGACCCATCATTCCTGTCTCAGACTGACAAGTCCTCCTTGTCCCCTTAATAGAGCCCGAGACAACTTCCCTCTCTAGCATCACTCTACCCCTCGCTTGGGACCCCAGCCGCACTGGTTTTCTTTAGGTCCCCTGTGTGCCCGGCTCCCTCCTGCCCCTGGGCATCTGCCCATCCTGCTGTCTGCTTGCTATGCTCGTTTTCTTCCTCAAGGTAACTCCTACTTATCCCACAACTCTCAGCTCCAGCACCTTCCTGCTTTTCTCATTTGTGCACATCCTTATCAGACCCTGAGAGCTCCGGAAGTAGGGAACACACCTGTCCCCATAACTGGGAGCACCTGACACAAAACCAGTATGTTGTATTTGCTGCATGTTTACTAATACCCAGAAACGTCTAGAAGGGACACAGCAAACTGATCAGTGTAGCTTCTGGGGCTGGGAAAAGAGGGGAGTCCACTTACTACTTTATGTACTTCCATAGGATTTGTGACTTTCTACAACAAAAATATTCTCTTGCATGTTTTTAAGTTAGGATGAAAATGGGATGAACGCCTTTCTTGGGGTTATGAGACTCAAATCAAATTAAAGCAGGCAGGGACAGGGAGAACTGGGGAATAGGCATTTTCCCAGCGCCCTTGGCCTCTCCCACCCCCAGACGTGCTCCCAGTACAAAGTCCCAAAACCCAGCCCAAACATCACCAAAATATTTATTAAAACCAAAGCAGGAGGGAACAGAGCTGTCAGGAAGCAAATCAAAGTGCAGACTGGAGGGTGGGGCAGAGCAGTAGGTGGGAGGGGGTGGCACTCAAACACCCCAGGAGGGGCCCCTGGAGTCTGGGCTGGGGGAGACCCTTCACCCACCCCTCATGCCCACCCTGTCAGTGAAGTTCCTCCACTCACTTCTCATCTCGTATCCATCCTGGGGGGCAGCTGGGGCCCTGAAGTGATCCCTTGGAGAGGGACCACCCTTCCATCCACCCATGGCTGTCAGTCTGTCTCCCTCCCTCACTTTCCCAATAAATAACTCAGGCCTCAGCTCCTTCAGGGTTGAGTGAAAGAACAGCGCAGGGACCCCTGCCCTTGCTCAGGTGGATAGGGAATGGGGTGTCAGCCCCACAACCCTCCTACCCCTAGCTGGGTTCCTAGGCTTGCCGAAGAGGCCTGGATAAATAAATAACGCTCCATTAAAGCTTCGATCAGAAAAACCTTTAAGACAGAAGTGCTCTCGCTGTCCTGCAAACCCAGCCAGCCAAGGCCTCCCCACCTGGCCTGGTCAGCACACAGGATTCTGGGGGAAGGCAGCCATGCTGGGCTTGGCGGGGCCCCCAGAGCAAGGAGACCAAAAGTGCAGTTACAGCCCCGCACGCACACACATGGACTCATGCACACACACGTGGACACACGGGCGTGTCTGCAGTGCACGCGCAGATGTGTTCACCTTCATTCCCCGGTACATGCACACACACATGCTCACGCACCACACTCACCCCAGTACACACGTGTAGGGTGCCGGGTGCATGCACATACACACCACAAACAGAATCCTTCCCTTCCTGGCTTGCTCAGCCTCCCGGCGGTAGCCAGACCCCAGAGCTAGAAGCTACTGGAGATAGGAGAGAGTAGTATAAATTAAACATTTCCAGTCAGGCTGGAAGAATGGTCAAGGGCAGGGGGCTCCAGGGCTGCAGAGACAGGGTGGGCATCTCGAGACTCTGGCCCCCCTGGGCCCTGTCAGAAATCCAGGGGGGTGAGGTCCCCAAAGTCACAGTCGAAGAGGTCTCTGATGCCCTCGCCCTCCTCCAGGCCAAAGTGGTAGTCGAGGGCCTCATTGGGAGGGGAAAGGTTGATGAACTCCTCAGAGAGGAGGCCAGAGAAGTCCTCCCGTGCATGCTCCAGGAGTGAGTCTGCCGCTACCAGTGGGGACAGGCGGTCCTCATCCACAGGGGCCCGAAGGCCACCCATTCGGGACAGCAGCGGTTCTGGGGAGATGGGGGAGCATCACAGGCCAGGGACGCCCAAGCAGGGAGGATAAAGGGGGCTGTCATGCCTGCCTGCCCCACCAGGGGAAGGGCCCTGCCCCACCAGGGGAAGGGCCCTGCCCCACACCACCTACCCACCCACCCTTACCCACCTTGCTCCAAGCTGAGCAGGGAATGGCCCAGATCCGTGGCGGGGGTTGAGGGAGGAGATGGTGGTGGCACTGTGGGGGCAGGGTCAGCTGCCCCGTCCTCCTCCCCTGAAGCTGTCCCCTGTGGCGGGGTCTTCCCAGGGCTGATCCCGCCCGCACTCTCCTCAGGACACAGGAAAACATCAATGGGGCCTTGTTTGCTCTTAAGGGAGATCTGAAAGGTCTGGGTGGAGGCAGTAGACAGGGTAAACTGAGGCCTGGGGGACCACCAGCCCAGCCCAGCCTGTCCTGGTTGGGCCTGGAGTCCCACGTCTCACCTCTGAAGAGTCCACCGCTTGGAGTTGGGTCTCGGGAGGGGCCTTGATCACCATGACCATCTGCTCTGCAGGGTCTGCAATGCTACGAAGGTCCTGGCAGGTCACATAGGCCAGGGTTGGTGGAGTCAAGGACCATGTGACCTTTAACCTCTGTGGGGCCACTCACCCAGACAGCTCACAAAGGAGGACCCACACCTGCTTAGTCACTCCTGTCCTCTCGACCCCCCACTCCAGGGCCTGGCACATAGGTGGGGCTCAAAAACCTCATTCCCCTGTGCTTCCATTTCCACTTCTGTACAATGGGACCATTCCACCCATCCAATCCCAAGGTAGGATGATGGTTGCGGGCAATAATTCTGTGCAAAATGCTTAACACCACTCCAGGCCTAGTTTTGGGAATTTATTTTGAGCCATGATCTTAATGTCAGTTGATGGTTGTGACCCAAATTTACAAACACAATTTGCGTGTCCACTAAAAAGAAAACGTATTTTAACAAAATTTCTACTTTTGTGAAAGAAAAACAAATAAGAGCTGGTCGGTTAGCTCAGTTGGTCAGAGCACAGTATTACAACACCAAGGTCAAAGGTTTGGATTCCCATAATGGCCAGCTGCCAAAAAAATTTTTAAAAATGAAAAAAAAAACCAAACAAACTTGAAAGCCACAATCATGTAGGGAATCACACTATACTAAATAAATGCTTGTTGTTGCTGATACTAGTTTTGCTTTTTTAATTTGCACAATTTCAGAATTGGATATTATTATCCCCCTTTTATAGAGGAAGCTGAAGCCCAGAGAGGTTAAGTTACTCATCCATTGTCACAGGGTGAGTAAATGCTGAGCCAGGACATCCAAAGCCACAGCCCTCCCGAGTCCAGGGCCCAGCGTAGCATCTCTAGGTCCACTTGGGTAGGGCCCCTGTCTGCCATGCCTGCCCTCCACGTCCAAGGATATCGCTGGCTGTCAGAGTCTTCAGAGAGCAGCCGCAGCTGAGTTGTGCAGAGGTGCATCAGGTGGTCCAGCTGCTGCTCACTCTCTTGCAGCTGCCGGAGGTCCTGGGTCAGCCCTTGAAGCCGCCCGCTGATCCCCACCGTGGCGTGGCTGCCTCTGTGGGAAGGTATCAGGGAGGGCTAACAGCTCCTGGCCCCTCTGCCCAGGAGCCCTGGCCCTCAGGATGGAGTCTGCTGCTGCCTCTGTTCTATGAGACTCAGGTAAGCCCTTGCCCCTCTCTGGGTCTGGCTCCTCAGCTGGGCTCCAAATCAGACTGGCATGGGTTTAAAACCTGGCCTGAATGTCTGCAAACACCTACATGTCCCTCACAGAGGGCTGGATAAATAAATGATGGCACACCAAGGTCAAGGGTTCAGATCCCCATATTGGCCAACCACCAGGGGAAACAAAAAAAAGCACAGACATGCCATGGAATACTACACAGCTGTATAAAAGGATGAAAATGCAGTAGACATCAGGTACACACGTGAAAGCATTTCCAAGACATGTTGTAATGTGAAAAGAAAAGAAAATGATGCAGAATGGAATGATCCACCAAAAACTGAAAAAGCAGATATGTCAAAAACAGAGTAGGGGCCGGCCCCGTGGCTCACTCAGGAGAGTGCGGCACTGGGAGCGCCGAGGCCGCGGGTTCAGATCCTATATAGGGATGGCCGGTGCGCTCACTGGGTGAGCGTGGTGCTCACAACAAGTCAAGGGTTAAGATTCCCTTACCAGTCATCTTTAAAAAAAGAAACAGGGGGTCGGCCCGGTGGCGCACTGGATAAGTGCGCCGCTTGGGAAGCGTGGCGGCGCTCCCGCCCGAGGGTTCGGATCCCACATGCAGCCCGGTTCCCGCTCACTGGCTGAGTGAGGCGTGGGAGCGACGCCGAGGGTTGCGGTCCCGTTGCCGGTCCCCGGTCCGGTGCGGGGGCGACACTGAGGGTTGCGATCCGTTGCCGGACACGGAAAAAGACAAAAAAAAAAAAAAAAAAAAAAAAAAAAAAAAAAAAAAAAAAAAAAAGAAACAGGGTAGAAGGATGATTGGGGAGAGGAATGAGAAGGGAAAAATAAAGCAAGAATTAACAAGAACAAAACACTGGTGTTAGACCAATCTCATCAATGGCAACAGAAGCCAGAATAGTGGTCACCTGGTGGTATGAGGGGTGGGCAATGACTGGAAAGTGCATGAAAGAACTTTCTGGGATGTTGAAAATGTGCTTTATCTTGATCTGGATGGTGCTAACCCAGGTGAACAAATACAAGGGTACTTCAAAAAGTTTCTGGAAAAATAAAATTACAGAATTAAGGGGTTGGCCCATGGCTCACTCGGGAGAGTGTGATGCTGATAACACCGAGGCCATAGGTTCAGATCCCCTTACCAGTCAGCCATCTTTAAAAAAAAAAAAAAATAACAGAATTAAAAGATAATATGACATGGTGTTGTAACACCAAGGTCAAGGGTTCAGACCCCTGTCTATACCGGCCAGCTGCAAAAAAGAAAAGCATGAATCTTTCCATGAACTTTCTGAAGCCTCCTTGTATGTAAAGCTGCATAGAGCTGGATATGTAAGATTTGTACTTAGCATCTATCACCTATCAGCCACCTCTCCTCTCTGAGCCTCGGCTTCCCCAGCTATAAGACAGGGAAGCACAGCTGACTGATGAGCTCAGTTGGTTAGTGTGGTGTTATAACACCAAGGTCAAGGGTTTTGCCAGCTGCAAAAAAAAAAAAAAATACAGGGACTCAGGAAGCCACAGTGGGTACTGCTACGCGCTGCTCCAGGCTGGCACAGCCAGTGTATCTGTCTGCCCAGCCCCGAACCTCTGCCTGCTCTCCTGTTTGGTTGGTACCTACAGCCACTGGATGTGGTTCTTGGACTTCTTGGCAATTAGCTGGATGCCCTCAAGGACGTTGGTGATGTCGTAGATGCGCCGCTTCTGTACCTTCAGCACCTCGGCTGCCCAGTTCAGGTCAACAACACCATCAGCTGAGCGGCTCAGCAGTTCCAGGAAGCGTTTGGTGGTCAGATTTAGTGATGTCTCATAGCGTGACTTCTCCCCCGGGGATTTCACACCTGGGAGGGCCAGTCAGGCAAGGCAGGTCCCTCAGCACCCACCCCCACCCCCAGCTAGGTCCACCTCCCTGGGAACACAAAGTAGCAGGATGATGTGGGGGCGTGCAGATGGCTCCTTCCCCTTGGCAAGGCCAAGCAGGGAGGCCCTTGGCTGCTGCCTGCCAACCACAGCATTCCCCTTCCTGCTGGGGAACTCCCTACTCTCCAGGGCCTACAGAAGCCCCACTAGGCCTAGGCAGCCATTCCAGCTGCCCTCTGGGCCCCAGAGGCCTGGCTCAGGCCCAGGCCTGATAAGCCAGACTTTAGTCTGCAAGCATGTTTATCTGTCCACACCTGTAACCTCGTCCTGGTTAGAGGCCTGCCCAGCCCAAGCTCCATGGGTACCTTTTCCTGGGTGGCGGCCTCTGCCCCGAACTGGTCCACTGCTCTCAGCCAGGTATTGATGGTCCGTTTCCAGGTCCAGCCTCCGCTTCACCTGTGGCAAAAACAACAGGAGGATGCCCAGTAACCAGGAGACTGAGGCTACAGCAGACCTGAGCGCTAGGTGTCCCTGGGCTGCTCCCTGCCTCAATTTCTCTACCAGGATGGTAGTGAGGGAAATTCTAGGAGGGACAGCCTGGGAGTCACAGTCCTACCACACAGGACACTCCACGGGAAGCAGGCCTGAGTTCAAGTCCCAGCTCTACCACGACCTTCCCGGGGTCTGGTGGTGGTTTTAAAATAAGTCTGCAAATTTTTTGATACTTCTTTCAGAAGATGAAGCCAGATGTGGTAACTTGCTTCTAGTGAATAGAATGTGGCAGAAGTGATGGTGTGTCCCTTCTGTGACTGGGTCCTAGAGGCATTGGAGCTTCCTCCTTGCTCTGTATATTGGATCTCTCACTCTGGCGGCAGCCAGCTACCATGTCACACAGACACTCAGGTAGTCCTAATGATGGGCCCAATGGCAAGGAACTGAGGCTTTCTCCGAACAGTGACATGGGTGAGCTTGGAATCAAATCCTCCAACTTTAGCCACAACTTCTGATGACTGCAGCATCAGAAGAGACCCTGACCCAGAAGCATCTAGCTTTGTCTCCCCTGAATTCCTGACCCACAGCAACTGTATAATAAATGTTTGTTGTTTTAAGCCACCGAGTACACAGGTCCCTTGGGCAAGTCACCACTTCTCTCTTGTTTTTGAATCATCTATAATCACGGCAGCAGCTGGTGCTCACCAAGTGCTTTGCATACAGCACTTCATGCCATCCTATGAACTGGCAATACAATAATGGCCCCATTTTACAGAAACAGCAACTGAAGCCCAGGAAAGCCCAAGGTCATACAGCCAGCAAGTAGCATAGCCAGGATTCCTACCCAAGACTGTCAGATGACACTCAAGGACCGAGACTGTCCTGGAAGTCTGGCAGGCAGCTCAAATGCACCCTGACCAAAACCAGACTGACCCTTGCCTCCACCATCCACAGGGTTTCCTGAACTAGAACCTCATTTAGCCCCACCAGCCACCCTCATCACATTCCTTTTTCAAGAACTCATCACCATGGCCATTATCATCTCCCTCCTGGACAGCTCAGCACTCTCCACACTGGTCTCCCTGCCCCCAGCTGTCCCCCCTCAGCTGTGACTGTCATCATGTTACCACCCCCACTTAAGACCTTCCTCTGCCTCCCCTTGCCTGGGTACCCTCATCTGCTATTGCATCTCCAGATGAACTTCTGCTGAAACGTGTTTTCCACACGTCTTCCTCCAAGCCTTAGCCCGCACTGGTTCCTCTCCCTACGTTGCCCCTCTCCCTCCCTCCCACTTCTGTGTCACCTCAGAGACAGGTGCTGGGTTTGAACAAACTCCACATCTGTGGTATCTACCCCAGGGCCTGGGCACCAGCAAAAGTGTGCTGAATGAACCTCCCCACATGCTGAGGAACCCCTATCCTCTCTCCGCCAGGCATGTCCACTGATGCCTGCCGAGTGCTTCAGGTGCACTGAGCACTGTGTTCGGAACTGCTTCACCTGCTCCTCAAACCCTCCCACCACATCCCAGCAGGTGCCATGATGGCCTCCACCTCACAGGTCACACAGCCAGTGAGAGATAGAGCAAGGATTTGCACTCTAACGGGCTGGTGCAGAGCTTGGGCCTGTAATCACGTGTCCCACATCCCCAGAGCCCAGTCCAGAAGCCAGGCCCCCACCCACCAACAAGAATGGACCTCTCTCTAGCCTCACCCTTGGGGCCTGAACCCTAGCATGCTCCTACCAACTACACCCCTTGCCTTCTCCCTGACAACCCCCCCCACCGCTCAACCCGAAGGCAGGTCGGTGCCACACCCTAAAACGAGGGCTCAAACAGATGCCCATTTCCGCCACCACTCTCTAGATAAACTCTGGCACAGGGACCATGAAAGCCAGGAGTGAGGGCATTCACTGATGAAAAAATCTGAGTGACTCAAACACCCATCCACAGAGGAGGCCTCCTAAATGGGTTTATTTAGCCCCTGGAATGCCACACGGCTGTCAAGAAGCACCCAGGTAGGTTGACACAGAATCCTCTCAAAGACATATTGACAAGCAAAACACTGTGATAGGGTAATACATTTACATGATCCCTTCTTAGATTAAAAAGCTCATGAAAAGCTGTCTGGTTCAGTTTCTATTATTACAAAACACATTTCAGGGGTGATGTCTGTATGGGAGGACCATGGGAGATTGTTGCTTTATCCGTGCAGTGTGAACAACACAGTTTGAACATGGAAATAAAAGGAAAAACTAGTTTTTAAAACTTGAAAAACTAAAAGCTGTCACAACCACTTAAAAACAAAAACAGCCTTTGGGGAAGAAAATAGAAGGTTAAATGGATAGGGCTGGAATCCCACCCCCTTCAACTTTCTAGTTTCTCTTAAGTTTTCTATAGTAAACACGTATTATATTTATAACGGATTAGTGTTTAACTGCCATGACTACAGAATAGAAGTGGTTAGACAGGACCAGGCGGAATTGCTGAATTGCAGAGCCTTGTATACAGGAGGTGCTCAATGAATGTTCACTAGTGTAGAAGCCAAGCATGTGGCTTATTTCAAGGACAGCCCCAAATAAATGCCAGTGCAGAAAGCCCATGGAGGCCCAAAGCTGGGCCCACGTTTCTGGACTTCAGCTCCAGGATGGTGCCAGCCTCCACCCCTGTCCACCTACAGAAAATGCCTACTATGACAGTAAGGGCTCCTTACTTGCCTCTGTGCCTAGCATCTCATGGACAGTCACTAATCCAACAACTGCTGAATGAATGGAATGCTAAGACCAGAGGCTGCCCCTGACACCACTGGGGGTGTAGTAGAGGGCATTTTTCTTTGCCCCTGTTCCTCCCTCTGAGCCTGGAGCCCACAACCTTCGGTCTGGAGCTTAGCTCCCTGAGGACAGGACCCACGGGTTCTATTAGGTCTCTGCAGCCGTGGGCCTGCTAAATGCTTATCACACAGCTGAATGGAAGGATATTCACCTAGGCCCCAAGCTGGTACCCGCAGGCACAAGCCCTTGGAGTATAAGAGACAAGACAAGGCAGCTGACCCACCCCTGAATGGCCCCTAAGACCTTCCTGGGTTTTCTTCAACCTCTATTAGCATCTCCAGGAGAAATGGCATCAACTGCTCAGGAAATGTGGACTGGATCTATCACTCACTAGCTGAAAGACTAGGGAAGGTCCTAACATCTCTGCCTTAGCTTCCCTATCTGTAAAAAGGGAAGGCTGCTGACAGGGTTAAACGAGTTAATAGGACAAAGTGCTTGGCACAGAGCCTGGCACACAAAACATCCTCAAAACAACAGTAGCTGCTATTGTTATTGTTATTAGCATCTTGGTGATTCCGGAAGGAAGGCAGCACTGGGCATGGGGCCAAGAGGGTTGGGGAGGCTGTCCCAGGATGCCTCAGGGAGCAGCTGCCACTCACACTCCCATCAGCAGTTGAACAGTTTCTACCTCCTTGTCCTGGGCCCTGCCTCACCCCTCCCACTTGCTCCAAGCTCCCTACTGAGACCCCATACTGCCTGGCCAGCCCCTGCCTGCCTGCTGGCACCCCACCTTCACCCACAGGCTGTGCCAGTCAAACTGGTCTTCACACCTTGTCCCGCAGCCCACAGGTCCAAGCTCCAGGCCTCCACTCCCTTCTCCCACTGCAATTCAGCTGCCTCTTCTGGGCCCCACGACCTGAACTGGTCTTGAGCCTCTTGCTGCTCAGGGATCAGAGTTTTATCCAGGGATCTTCTGGGATGTTTTCTCTATCCTAGCATTGGGGGCTTCTCTCCAGCTCCCAGAGGCCCAGCCCACCCAGTGTTTCCTCAGAGGCTCAGGGGTCTGCCTGCCTGATTAATGAGGTTCCATGGCAACCAGGCCCTGGGAGGGTGGAGGGTGGCAGATGGAAGGACAGGCAGAGGGAGGGGATCAGCAGCTGGCCCAGTCGCCCCGCCCCTGCAGAGAAGTCCTCCCAGCCAGGAGGCCTCTCCCCAGAGGCCTGGAGGGCCAGGCCTGCACCTGGCAGTCCAGCATCGAGGCAGGAAGGAGGGTCTCCTCAATGGTGCTCCAATGGTCAGGTTGCAGGACCTTCCCTTCACCTCCCCAGTACCCAGCTGCAAATTCCGGTCTGAAGTCAGCAGGCCTCAGTTCAAATCCCAGCCCCACCACCTGCAGCCCTGTGACCCGTGTCAAGTCACTTTCTGGGCCTCAGTTCCTCTTCCGTCAGATGGGCACAGTGACAACATCGAGCGACCTGGCATGCAGTAAGCGCCAGTTGAATACACGTGGGCCATTTTTATCACTAAGTCCGACGCTCGAGTGGCTCCGCTGAGGAAGCTGAGGCCCAGAGCACAGAGGAGCAAACAGGGATCGGCGAGGTTACCCCGCATCCCGGGGCGGGGCCTGGAGGCCCAACCCAGGCTCTGCACCTCCCAGCCCGGGAGCCTCGGTCCACTCCTCCCCCGCCCCCCGCTGCCGCTGGGTCTGCGCGGAGGGTACAGGCAGCGCACTCCGCCCGGCGTCCCTGGGGTCCGTACCGGCGGGCGGCCGAGCGCGGGA